TCGCCTCCGCACGCTCTGTGCACTCCGCGCGGCAGAACGCCGCCGCGCCAACGCACCAGCCTCGGCCTCCCACCCTCCGCGCCTCCCGCGTGGAGGGTGCAGACCGCGGAGGTCGAGTGGACCAGAAACCAGACGACACCCCCTCACCTCTGACCCAGCGATGCTGAAAGCTTAGGCACTTGCCCAGCCACGACCACCTACGGCCCAGCTACGGCACCTCCCCACCCGCGGCCCACCTTAAAGGAACGAAATAAAAACAGCCAAAGCATTAACTTTTAGCGCTCCGCGCGGATTTCTTGGATCTGCGCTAGAATCCCCTCCCTGGCGCGCGGAGCGCGCCAGGAGCGGCGCCGGAGGCGCCGCCAGGGGGGTCCCAGCGCGGATCCAAAAGATCCGCGCGGAGCGCCAAAAGTTTATGTTTATGCCTTCGTTGTGACTTGTATGCCTTTTTTATGTTTCTTCTTTTTGTGGGCGACTTCGGCGTATGATTTGAATTGTTTGCAACTCCGCCTCGACCGCTCCTCGTCGTCCTCCTCCCTTTCCCCTCCCGCTCCCCCCCTGCTTCCTGCTTCGCAGTGCACCGATGCTCTGCTTCGCAGTCGAACGGGTGTACGCTAGATTGCCACGAAGAGCTCCCGATCGTGCACCCTCCCGCCCACGCGTCCTTCCGGATGCTCGGCCCGCGCGTGGGCTGCGCGTGGGCTGCCGGGACCCGCCCACGCGCCCAGACACCTGCGCGTGGGCTGCGCGAGGGCTGCGCGTGGGCTCCCGTGCACTCCTCCTGCACTCTTCTGCCCACGCGCCCAGGCACCTGCGACCCAGCGGGCCGTGGGTGGGGTGGCGTCGGTCGGTTCTCTTGCTCGAGCGAGGGAGCGGAGGAGACCAAGAGAAGCAGCCGAGGCCCAGACTCTCGCAGGGCCGCGCGGGCTTCGCGGGTCGGCTCGGGGGCCCCCCTCCCCGAGCACCTGCCAGACCACTCCAGCCCAGCTCGAGGACCCAGATTTCGGAGTGGAGGGGATACGGGTTCCACGCGAGCTTTTTGGATGATCCCCGACGCGCCCCCCCCACTGGGAGTGGGGGCCGAAGTGGGGCCCCCGGATGAGATTGGGGTGGTCTGGTGGGTGGTGACTCCCCTCAACTCCTTGCCAGAGGCGCGGAGCGCGCCAGGGGCGGCGCTGGAGGCGCCGCCCAGAGGCGTGGCGGTGGGGGTCCAGCGCCGGCCCATGAGATCCGTGCGGACCTCCAAAGATGCCAAATAAAAGTCGAGGGAATGCCTCCCCAGCCGGAGGAGGTCTCGTTCGGGTGGTCAAGAGTCGATCCCAAGGCCTCTCCGGGGGTGGGCCCTGGCCAGGCCTTCGAGGCGAGCCCCTCCGGCGCGACGAGACGCCTCCCTGAGGCCCGAGGTCCAGGGATCGGCGACGCTTCCAGGGGCGGCAGCCCGAGGTCCAGCGATCGGTGGAGCTCCTCAGGGGGGGGGGCCCGGCAGGCGTGAGGGGTGTGCCGACAGCGGGGCGGGGAGGCGCAGGCGGACCCCTCCAGAGCCCTCGAGCCTCCAGCCCCCACCCCCCCCCTGCCTGCCCCCCCCTCGGCGCCTGGTATCTCGGCGACCGCGGCGAACTCGCGCGCGGGGGGCTCGACGCCCTCGGCGGCGGCGGGGTGGCTCCACCGCGCGGCCTCCCGGGTGAGCAGCCGCTGGAAGGTGCTCTCGGGGCCAGGAGCGAGCGGTCCGCGCGGGACGCGGGGACGCAGGCCGCCCATCAGGACGCCGCTCATCGAGTAGGAGATCGGCTGCAGAATCGAGTCGCCCCGAAATGAATTGTTCGTCGATTCTGCAGGAGTACATAAGATGTCCGTAGACCGAGTAGGAGCATTCTACGCATGTTGGTCGTAGGTTCGAAGAAATCTCAACTCTGGGGTGAACGGATGCTGTAGTCGATCTCCTGCTCGAACTCCAGACTGCGGCCAGCAGGCCCCTTGGGAGCAGAGGGGCGGGCCAGGGCCCCTTCAGCAAGGCACGTGGTCGAGGAAGTCGTGTGCCCAGGACCGGGAAACCGACGTTCTCGACCAGAATTTGAGGAACGTGTTCTTACGAGTAGGTCGGGCGTGTCCTCCTACAGGCGGATTTCGAAGGACAAATGAAAAAGTCCAAAAAGTATTCAAAATAGTCTCTCTCTCTCTCTCTATCTCTCTCTCTCTCTCTCTCTCTCTCTCTCACAAACATTAGAATAAACGATAAAAATAAAAACAAAAAAATGAAATAAACGTCCCCACACTATGTTTGTGACTATTTTTGAATATAAAAAACCTCCTGTAGAGGGACGTGCCCGACTTACATCCTCCGACCCCGAGAAACTGGGACACCAGAGATCCTCCTCCAGAGGAGAGCTGCCTCTGCCCCGACGCCGATCCCAATCCCCACGCACCCCACACCCGGCTGCCAACAGCATCCGGCCAACTTTCGGCGGCCCCCGAGGGGGAGGAGGAGGAAGAGGAGGGGGAGGAGGAGGAGGAGGAGGAGGAGGAGGAGGAGGAGGAGGAGGAGGAGGAGGAGGAGGAGGAGGAGGAGGAGGAGTAACTAGGAGGAGGAGGGGGAGGAGGAGGAGGAGGAGGCGGAGGAGGAGGAGGAGGAGACGGCCCTCCCACCTTCTGCCCCAGGATCCTCGTAGAGAGAGACGGTCGAGCGCGGAGGCTGGACGCTTCTCTGGCCCGCCTGGGGCCTCCACAGGCCTCCCGTGGCCCTTTGTTTGTTTTTGGACCTTCGGGACCCTCCTCTGGAGACCTCTGGGAGGCCTCCTCCCACTCCGCCTCCATCATCCTCCCTCCTCCTCGCGAGACGAAGCCAGGACGAGGACCCAATCGGGTGGGGATGAATCGAGAAGCTCTGAGATCCGGCGGCTCTGGAGGATGTCTCGGGCGCCGCGGCCTTCTCAGAGCGTTCTGGCGCGCTCGGAGGGCGTTCCGGAACGCTGTGGAACGGAGTTAATCCTCGTCCTAGCCCCGTCAGACCTCTGCCCATCTCGCCTGGCCCCTGGGATCACCGACTCCGACCCCGATGCTCTGGGAGCAGCCATCCGCCTGCTCGGGCACGGACTGCACCCCGAAGAACGAGTCCAGCCAGCTGGCCCACAGAGGGCCTGGGCTCCGTGCGGCGTCGGCCAGCGGCTTGGCCGCGGCTGCCAGCGCTGCCAGCGCATCTGGGCACAGGCAGGCCAGCATCCGGTGCACCAGCTCTGGCGCCATCGACGGGAAGCCACCCGAGCGGCGGGCCAGGCTTCTCGAGGCATCGCGTTCCGCCCTCGCTGGCGCAGCACCCGCGATGGCCGAAGAGGCGGCTGCCGTCGTCGAGGAGGTGGCACTGCCTGGACCGGCCGTCTCTAAGGCTGAGGCCGATGTCCACGGCTGGGCACCACCTGCACGTGCGCCAGTCTCCAGGGCCGCACGCCGACGACAAAGCATTGAGCGAAGCAGCTGTCCGATCGACGCCATACTTCGACCAGCCCGTCGCCGGGTCGACCCAACTTTGCCAGCTGGGTACCTGCGGCTCCACCTGGAATGTTGCAGTATTGGGCCGACGCGGCTGCCTGCGGCTCTCTCTGGAATGTTGACTCATTGGGCCAACGCGGCGGTGGAGGCGGAGAAGAGGGCGGCAACGACGGGAGGGAGGATTGGAAGAAGAACACGGAGGGAGTGGGAGGAGGAAAAGGGGGTGGGTGGAGGAGAGGGCTCCGCCACGCACGCGTGCCGAGGCCTTCCCCGTGCGCGAGCCTCACCCCGCGTTGGGGCCTCTCGGCACGCCTCCGCCTGGGGCTGGAACGGGACATCGGTCGGGAAGGCAAGGGGGCGCTGTTGAGCAGCGTGGCGTGGCCTGGGCTGGTTTTGCAGACCCCCCATAGGAGGCACACAGACATAGTAGTACTATATGTCCTCCTTGGAGGCGCGCGTCCGACCCGAACATACAATAGACCCATCTCGCACCCGCCACAACGCATATACCATAAGATTTCCCGGTGCGCGCGTCGCCCCTGGCGGGGCGACGCGCATATAGTACAAGTATGTTGGGGTGACGCCGACCCCATGCTTTGGCCGCCTTGACCGGTTGCAGCCTCAGCCTGACCATCCGATCTGATAGCTCGGACATCTACGAATACGGACGCGTCCAGCGCTTCACCCAGCGCAGAGCTGCCTTTTTGCTATTAGGTCCCTGCGCTCAGGAACAACTGTGCGAACACGTAGAGAATGACTTCCCTGACAGACCCTAACCCGCTTGGATACTCGCACGCCCCACCCCACCCACAACCTTGCCTGGCAAGCCAAGAATCAAGTGTGTCTTTCGCTTCACGGAGCACGACACAACCACCGCAAGGCCGCCGAGAAAACTACAGCCATGCGCAGAGAACTATTCGATCGCATCTCGCTTCGCCAAACATAGAACTGCCAGGCTTTCTGGTCAACACGACAAACAACTCGCTGACTACATAGTTACTGTCCTGGCAAACGTGTAGTTTTGATAGTTAAGGAAATGGCCGGCAAAAACAAGGTGGACAGGCGTGTCCTCCACGTTCTGGAAGAAGATGTCTCCGCACTGCGCGGTGCCGCGCAAGGTGGGATGATTGGGATTCAGCGCCTTAGCACGGAACGCGTCGATCTGATCCTTCAGCTGATCCACCACGACCTTGATGTGGTCCTGCCCTCCCTCGTCTTAACAGCAAGGTGCATGCACGCGGGAGCTGCGAGTGTCCCCATTATTGCCCCCCCATGTGCAAACGACATTCACAAGAACACGGCGGAAGGTCAGCACACCAGAATACATACATATACATACACATACATCTATATATAGGGGGAAAAACAAAAACCACAAAAAACAAACAACAACAACAACAAAAAAAAACAAAACAAAAAAAAAAAAAAAAAAAAACGCGCGGGCGCTTCGCGCGCTCTTAGATTCTAGCCCAGCCCATGGCGCTGTGATGAAACGAACGTCGGGGTTTGCGGGCGACTCGCTGTCGGAGAAGGGTTGCGACCGTCTTGGGCCAGTTACCGGATGTCGCAGGGCTCCCTTGGACTGGCTTTGGGGCTGTTTAGGCACTTTCTTGGGGGGGGCAAGTGTCTTTGGCCTCACTGGCGCCGCCCAGGGATGTCAGATCGCTCTCGCGACACGCAAGTCTTGGCTAGCGGGCTCGTCGGGGAGATCGCTGAACAGCCTTGGAGCATAACTGCCTTGAAATAGAATGCACGCGATGCCTCGCCAGCTGGCGGAGCACGTGCAAAAGGAACGAAGAATGCCCCAGGACGCAGGGCAAAATGCCATTATACATAACGCAAGCGCTGTCACGCCGGGTGGCGGAGCAATTGTAAGAAGATCTAGAAAAGACGGAACTAGGAGAGAACGCAGCCTTGATATTGAATGCATGCGCTGCCACGCCAGCTGGCAGAGCACGCGCAGAAACCCCTCCTGGTCGCACCGGCAGGGCCTCAAGGTCGATGACTTTGCGTTCATTACCGAAGCGTCCTTCGGCATTCTTTCAGCCTCTTGGACGGACTCATGCTGAAGATGCGGCTTTGGGGGTGTTTGGGGGCCGTTTGGGAACCCTCTTGGGGGCTTGCATGGTCATCTTGGGAGTCTCGTGAGGCCGTTTCAGGGCTGGTTTGGGGGTCTCTTGGGCTGTCTTCGGGCCCTCTCGGGACCGTGCCGAGGCCATCTTGGGCCCATCTTGTACCGTTTTGGAGCCGTCTTGGGCGGTCAGAAGCCAGGAAGAGCGAAAACACGCACGCACGCACACACACACACACACACATACACACACACGCACAACAACAACAACAACAACAACAACAACAACAACAACAACAACAACAACAATCATTTAAGACTGGGGACACTCCGTTCTCACCAGTGCCAGGGTTTTCATAGGAGGCGGGCAATACCCCCACTTTGTGGGGGGGCCGGTTCAAGCTCTACCAAGTTTCCAAACGACTCTTCGCCACCACCCACACCCAGCTTCCCGCCCTATGACGTTCGGACACTTCACTTCGTGGCCTGCGGACGACCTTGGCTACTACACTGGCGCATGGTTACAATGACTTGTTGTGGTAACATTTTGTGGAAGCTAGCTTAGTATACGACTTATACCCCTGTTCCAACAATGGACACGTGTACCGTTTTCCGACGTTTTTCCGTTTCTGTACCACACAAGCCAAGACACTTATTTTGAGTGGTACCACGTGCGTGGCGCCAGCATACCACAGGACTTGTTTCCGTTGTTGTGAGACGATATATGCTCATTCTTGTTCTGTGGTTGTCGTTCCGGCCTCAGTGTTTTTCGAGGACCTACGGTGCGATTCGTGCGATTTTATGATACGCGGTGCTGAATTTCTTAAGAAACCCAATGGTATTGGAAGATTTCGGCGTGCGCGCGCGAAGAAAAAACGAATGTGTCCCATATGGTATTATTTGACAGGGATGATGGCCCTGGCATGCGCGCAACCGTTGTTGCAGAAGTTCGAAGCACGTGAAAAAGTTGCTCGCAAGAGCCCGTTTGACAGAAATGTTGAAAAAATATTGGGTTTCCTCAGAAATCCGCAAGAGCGCGCGGGATGAATTGTTGAAACTTTTTTTTTGAAAAACCATTGGGTTTTTCATGTTTTTATGTTAAAATCGCTACGAAAACTAAGGTTTTGGAAGGATTTCATCTTGCGCGCGCGAGTGTGCACTTCGTGTCATTTTTTGCAAAGGATTCTTGAAGTTTGGTTATGTTAGAACAAGACATGTCATTTTATATTGTTTTTTGACAGGGAAAGCGGGCGTCAACAAAACAACCGGATCTGGGTCACATCGTTTTGCCTGAGGCTTCCTCACGAAAATTATGAAAATGAGGCTGCGGCCTAGGCGCGGCGGGGGGGGCGCGCACCAGGGGTCCCAACAATAATTATTCTTTAGAATTAATAATGTTCAACAACAACAACAACAACAACAACAACAACAACAACAACAACAACAACAACAACAGAAAATGTGTTTGGCCTCATCAAGGCTGGGGCGCATCGGGAGCTCTCCTGGGGTGTCCTGGGGACCTCTTGAGCTGTGGTGAGGCCATCCTGAGCGCTCTTGTTGCCCTTTTGGGCCGTCTTTGGCTCATTTTCGTTCCTCTTCGGCGGTCTTGGGGGTAGCTCAGGCTGTCTTGGAGGCCTCCTTGGCCGTCTTGAGGCCTCTTGGAGGCCACGGGGAGGGGGTATCAAAACAGGGGGCGAAATGATAGCGAGGTGCTGGGCCCCCGGGCGAGGATCGACATCCGAAATTGTTTTGTCTTCGGAGCTCTCGTCGCTGCCGCGGCTGGACGCATCTCGAAGCAACGTTGTCTTTCCTAAGAGGTACAGGACGAGAACGGGGAGGGAGATGAGGAGGCAGAAGCATCAATAAGAGTTGGAACAGCAATTACACTGCCGTCTTTGGCTCGCACCACCGTCCGCACTTAGGATCCTTGGTGTTTGGAACTCGTTACGTGATGAAACAAGAGAACCGGACGAAAATCTATACATTTTGCGTTTCTGGGCCTTCTTGGGTGCCCTCTTGGGACCTGTTCGGGCCACTTCACGCCCTCTCGGGGAGTCCTGGGACCAATTTGGGGCGTCTTGGAGAGCTTTGGCTGTCCTGAGGCCTTGTTGGGGTCCTCTTGGAAGGCTTTTGGGGCTCTCATGGGCCTCTCTTGACGCCATTTGGGACCTTCGGGGCCTTCTTGGGGCCGCCTTGGAGCGCCCTTGGGCCGTCTTGGGACTCTCTCGGGCCGTCCTGCGGCCCTCTTTGGGAGCCGCTTGGACCGTATTGGGTCGAGTTCTGGGGCCTCGTAGGCTGTCTTGGCCCGTCGGAAGCATGAAAAAGCATGAACACGGAAAACCTGAAAAAAACCTGAAGAATCACATGTTTCGCCTTCTGAGGGCCTCGTGGGGCTCCTTTTGAGAGCCTCCTTGCCATCTTGATGCCCTCTTGAGCTGTCTTGAAGCCATGTTGGGCCATCGTGGAACGCTCTTAGGCGGTCTTGGGCTCTCATGAAGCGCTTTTGGGTCGTCTTGGAGCCCTCTTGAACGTCTCTTGGGTCCTCTCGTCGCCCCTCTTTCCCTCCTTTCGCGCGTTTTGGCGCTCCCCGACGGATCCAAAACGGCCGTGTACAAAATCAGTGCTGCCCAGGGCCCCTGGGACCCTCTCCCCTATATATATATATATATATACACACATACATACATACAGACAGACAGACAGACAGACAGACAGACATACATACCTGCATGCATACATACATACATATGTGTACACACACCTACACATATACATACATACATACATACATACATACATACATACATGCATGCATGCATGCATGCATGCATGCATACATACATACATACATACATACATACGTACGTACGTACATACATGCATACATGCACACACCTACACAAACACATACATATACATACATACATACATACATACATACATACATACATATATACATACATACATACATATATACATACATTCATACATACATACATACATACATACGTACGTACATACATACATACATACATACATATAAACATACACATACATGTACGAATATATATATGTATATATATATACATGTACACACACATATACACATGCATATGCATATACATCTACATACGCATATACATATACAAGTCTAAGAAATTATGCATAAACATATAAATAGTCATATGCGTATGCATGTACAGATACACAAAAATATACCTATACATATACATATACAGATACACATACGTATAGCTCGATATACATATATACACATGCACATGTGTCTAAACATATACGTGTACAAATACATGTACGTGTGAATATACATGGACACATACATGTACATATACGTATACATATACACGTGCATATACATATACATATGCGTATGCGTATACCTATACAGCTACATATACAAATACATATATTCCTATACATATACATATACATATACATATACACATACATATGCATATACATGTACATGCACATGTACATCTACATATACATACACATATACATATATAGTAGATATATAGGCATACATACATACAGACAGACAGACACACACACACGCAGACAGACAGACAGACAGCCAGACAGACAGACAGACGGACATACTGACAGACAGGCATATACATATATATATATATATATATATATATTATACACATGTACGCATGCGTACATGTGTACATCATATACAAGTGCAAACATACCTGTAAACATGCATACAGCAAAACACGCATACATATAGATCGATCGATATATATATATATATATATATATATATATATAGATATATATATATATATGTACAAGACTGCAGTGGCACTTCGCGCCGTGCACCTTGATCCTTGAAGTTTGGTACGCAGGCGGAATAGCAGGAAGGTCAAGCCGACAATTTAGCGATAACTCCTTGTTGCCTTTTCCAGCATCGCCGCTATAATAATGTGATTCGTTATCATTCCTCCATGCTTCTTTTCCTAATGTTCGCCTTACCCTGCGCATTCTCCCCATCCTCATCAGCTCTTTTTTGCGGAGGCTCCTCCTTGGAGAGCCTCTGGGGGCCTCGCAAAAGTTATTTCAGGCTTTCTCAAGGCCTTCTGGAGGCCTCCTGGGCGTACTCTGGGGGCCTCTGGGGGCTTCCTCGGGCCACCCTGCCTCCAACCGCGGTCTCCCTGAACGACGGGGTCACGATTTGGAATGCTTCGGAGGGTGTCTTGGGGCCACCTTGGGCCGCCATGGGGCTCTCTGAAGGCCATCTTGGACCCGTGTTGTGCCGTTTTGGGGCTCTCTTGGACTGCCTGGAAGCCCTTTCGGATAGTTGTGGGGCGATGTTGGAGCCTCCCAGGCGGCTTCGGACGCCCAGAAGACCGCCGTCTTGGAGCGTCGGGAAGCCGAAAGGAGGAGAACCCCAAAATTCACCAAAAAACGACAGAACATCAATGATGTTTGCCTCCTGGGGCCTTCTTGGGAGTCCTCTTGGAGGCCTCTTTGGGGCCGTCCTGGAGGCCTCTTCGGCCATCTTGAGGTCACGTCGGTCACTCTTGGAGCGCTCTTGTGCTGTCTTGGGGGTCTCTGGGACGTCTCCGATGACCCCCCTGATCGCTCTAGGTGTGCTGGGAAGGCCTGGCAAAACGCCCTGCGAGGCCCAGGGGGCCGCTTCGAAGCCCGTCTGGAGGGTCCCAAAGCCCCAGATCCCGGGAGTCCAGTTTTGGGAGGGGGGTCCCCCGCCTGGGCTTGTAAAAATATAGGAAGAGGAATAAAAAGATGTACGTGCATGCATGCATGTATGTATACACACATACATACTTACACATAGTATACAGACATATAGATACACACATACGCACATACATATATACATATGATTATACATATACGCATGCATGCATGCATACATATATACGTACACCAATTACAATACAGTAAATGCACACATGAATACGTGCATGCATGCAAGCATACGTGAATACATGAATGCGTGCATACATATATACATGCAAGCATACACGTATATCTATATGCATGCATGCATACATACATGCATACATAAATACATGTGATACCCGAAAAATGCCCCAATCTGAGTCTTGTTAGGGCTATAGGGCTATGGGGCTATTGGGCTATAGGGCAGGGTTGTGGGGCTATGGGGCTACAGGGTTATGGAACTATAAAGCTATAGGGCCATGGGGTTATAGGTCTATAGGACTACAAGGCTATAGGGCTATAGGGCCATGGGGCTTTAGGGCTGTAGGGCTATGGGGCTATGGGGCTATGGGGCTCTGGGGCTATGGGGCTCTGGGGCTATGGGGCTATAGGGCTATGAGTCTACAGGACTATGGGGCTATTGGACTTTACGGCTGTAGAGCTGTAGGAACATAGGGATATAGGGCTAAAGATGCTATCGGGCTGTTGGGCTATTGGGCTATAGGGCTATAGGGTTATAGGGCTACAGGGCTATAGGGCTACAGGGCTATAGGGCTATAGGGATATGGGGCTATAGGGCTATAGGGCTAGAGGGCCATAAGGATATAGAGCTATAGGGCTCTAGGGCGATAGGGCTATAGGGCTATAAGGCTATAAGGCTATAGGGCTATAGGGCGATAGGGCAATTGGGATATAGGGCTATAGGGCTATTGAGCTATAAGACAATAGGGCTATAGGGCTATAGGGCTATAGGCCTATAGGGATATACGGGCACCCGGGCACCGGGGCACGCGGGCACCCGGGCACCCGGGCACCCGGGCACCTGGGCACCCGGGCGGGCCGGGGAAATCGGTGACACACCTCACCTAACCATATGGATCCGGTTGGATCCCTACATGGGCAAGCTCTGATTGGGAAACATGCATGCCTGCATGCATGCATACATACATATGATACTGGAGAAAAACCCAGTCAAAGTGTTTTTGTTAGGGCTATAGGGCTATGGGGCCATTAGGCTATTGGGCGACGGGGATAAAAGGCTATAGGGCTATGGAAATATAGGGTTATAGGTCCATAGGGCTATAGAGCTGTAGGGCTATAGGGCTATAGGGCCATGGGGCTATAGGGCTGTAGGGCTATAGGACTATGTGCTATAGGGCTCTGGGGCTTTGGGGCTATAGTGCTAAGGGCCATAGGGCTATGAGTATATAGGACTATGGGGCTATAGGGCTATAGGACCATAGGACTATAGGGTTATAGGATATAGGGCTATGGGGCTGTAGGGCTATAGAGCCATGGGGGCTATAGGGCTATAGGGCTAGGGCAAGAGGGCAGTAAGGCTATAAGGCTATAGGGCTATGGGGCTATGGGGATATAGGCCTATAGAGCAGAAACGCTATTGGACTATTGGGCTATAGGGCTATAGGGCTATAGGGCTATAGGGCTATGGGGCTATGGGGCTACAGAGGTACTGGCCTATAGTCCTATAGGGCTATAGGGCTATAGAGCTATAGGGCTCCATGACGATAGGGCTATAGGGCTATAAGGCTATGGAGCTATGCGGCTATAGGGCTACTACGCTATAGGGTTATAGGGCTATTGCGCTATGGGGCGATGGGCTATTGGGCTATAGGGCTATAAGGCTATAAGGCCATAAGGCTATAGGGCTATCGGGCACCCAGGCACCCAGGCACCCGGGCACCCGGGCATCCGGGCACCCAGGCACCTGGACACCTGGGCACCCCGACAGGCCGCGAAAATCGGCGGCAAAGCTCACCTAACCAGATGAATCCGCTAGGACCCCGACAGAGGCAAGCTCTGATTGGGGAGCATACACTCGTGCATACATGAATTCATGTATGCATGCATGCATACATGCAGACATACAGGCATGCAGACATGCAGGCATACAAACATGCATGTATACATACATGCATTACTCATACGTCCGTACATACATACACACATACATACATACATACATACATACATGCATGCATGCATGCATGCATGCATGCATACAAACATACATACATGCATGCATGCATGCATGCATGCATACATACATACATAGAACCATACACAAACAAACCAAAAAACATACATGCATGCACACATACATACATACATGCATGCATGCATACATGCGCGCGTCTATACATACATACATATATACATACATACATACATACATACATACATACATACATACATACATACATACATACATGCATGCATGCATGCATGCATGCATGCATGCATACATACATACATACATACATACATACATACATACATACATACATAGATACATACATGTATACATACATACATACATGCATGCATGCATGCATGCATACATACATGCATACCTACATAGAAACATACACACACACACATACATGCATACATGCATACACATACATACATGCATGCATGCATACATGCATGCATGCATGCATACATACATACATACATACATACATACATACATACACACACATGCATGCATGCATGCATGCATGCATACGTACATCCATACATACATACATCTATACATACATACATCTATGCATACATACATACATACATACATGCATGCATGGATGGATGCATACATACATACATACATACATACATACATACAGACATGCGTATACACATACATACATACATACATACATACATACAGACAGACAGACAGACAGACAGACAGACAGACAGACAGACATAGATACATACATAAATACGTATATATGTACATGCATGCATGCATGCATGCATGCATGCATGCATGCATACATACATATAGATAGACAAACAGACAGACACACTGACAGACATGCATACATACAGACAGACAGACAGACAGCCATATACACATACGTAAATAGATACATACACAGACAAGCACATAGATACACATACATGCAGACCTACCTTCATACATGCATGCATACATACATGCATGCATGCGTGCATGCATGCATACGTATATGCATACATACATGTGTACCTACCGGCATACGCACATGCATAGCCACATACATACAGGCTTCCGTACATGCATGCATGCATTCATGCATGAATTGCAGACAGGCAGACAAACATACAGACAGACAGACATGAATGCACATGTACATAAATACATACGCAGGGAGAGACGTACGTACATACAGTCATACATAAGCGTATCAAAAACGTGCATACACACGTACCTGAATAAGTCTAAATACGTTTCTACATGCATACATACATGTACATACATAAATAAGCATACAAATACATGCATGCATGCATGCATACATACATACATACGTACGTATATACATAGATACGTACATACATACCTGCATGCATGCATAGATGCATGCATACATACACGCGTGCATGCATATATACATGTAGATTACATGCTATACAAATATAATAACCATGTAGGTATGCGTGCGTATCCCGACCCTCATATGCTGTTGGGTCCCTGGATTTTCTCCGCTGCGCCGCGCGTCGCCGCTTCTCTCTCTCTCTCTCTCCCTTCCCCTGCCCCTCCTCCCCCTTCACCCCCTCCGTCCAGCGGCTGCATCTGCCGAGACGCGCGCTGCACGCTGCTGCTGCTGCTGCTGCTGCCACTGCCACCGCCGACCACTGCTTCTTGGCGGCGCGCACATGGGGGGTAGGAGGAGCGGGGGGACGGCTTAGAGGGAGGCTGCTTCTCAGAAGGCGCCAGTCCTACACCTGGCCCGCGCCCTCTAAAAAGCAGCCTCCCTCTAAGAAGCCCTCCCCCCTCGCCCTAATTACCCCCCCCCCGTGCGCGCCGCCAAGATGCTGCTCCCCACGCCCCCCTCAGCAAACCCCCCACGCGGGTGGTGCCCCCCCTGGGGAGCAACACCCGTGGCCCCAGTGGGGAGGGCGCCTTCGGCCCCCGGGGTCAGGCTCGGCAAGCTCCTCCCGCGGACCCTGCCCCACGGGGGAGCTCGGCCCGTGGCCGCGGCGGGGCAGGCGGAGGGCGCGCGCAGCTCCCGCCCCCGCTTGTCCCGCCCCTTTTGGCGGACCGCGCCCCACAGAGAACTCGACCCGTGGCCCCCAGCACTCGAAGCAGTGCAGAAGCACCCGTCGCCGTGCTCACGGCGCTCAGATCTGCAGGCTCCGGGATAGGCGCAAACCCCCCCCCAACGCTCCCCGCTCCTCGGTCATCGCCTCGCACTTCTGGATCTCATGCGAGGTGCGCATGCCGTCGAAGAAGTGGATGAATGGCACGGAGCACAGCAGAGTGGCGATGTGAGCCACGAGCGCCTTAGGGCAGGCCCACGCGCGGGGGACCCGCGCGACAGGGGGAACATGCCTCGCCATGGACCTGGCATGGCCGCAAAGGCCGCCACCACGTTCCTGATTTCGGCCCCCACCGATGGAGCCCCCACCAGTGGAGCTGCCTCACTCTTTTACAGTGTATCATTTTTCCCCTGGAAAGGTAGGAGAAGGGGCGCGCGCGACCACAGAGCCTCACCACGGTGCGACTAGCACAATAGCGCGTGAAACGGACGATCACCAGTCAACGAAGAACGTTACGCCGACCTGTCACAGGCAAACTCATGCGATGAAAATTGGCCTGAGAGATAAAGCCGTGAGGGGACAGGCAGGGGAAAGGGGGAAAGACTTTTCTTCGTCGGCGGCGAGGCGGACGCAATCCGCACCAGCGTGAGGCTAAACGGGGGCACCGAAAAGCGAATTGCCAGGCATGCAAGAGAAGTGGGAGGGGGGAACGGCCGCGCGAGGGGGGAGAGGGGGAAACACGAAGAGGGAGAAGGAAGGGGACACGGAGCAGTGCGACAGCGATAGCCAGCGAGCGCGGCGCAGAGGGAGCAGCAACCGCAGCCCAGCCAGGCAGGAGAGGACCAAGTCCAGCACAGGAGAACCTGGCAGGCCAGCAACCCAGGGAGGGGGAGACGACACCCGTTGCGCAGCACGAGAGCAGGGATGCGGGGGGCAGGCCTGCCCTGGGCAGGGAGCAGAGCAGAGCAGAGCACCAGAAAACGTCCCGGAAGGACGGCCCTATGAGAGCCCGGCGGGGGCGCCAGAGCGCCAGAAGGCTCATTCGTTGTAGTTGCCGGAGTGGAGGAAGCGACGCATGTAGTCCAAGAAGCCTTCTTCACGAGTCTTCCACCATGGTGGGTTCTGGGCCAACACCCACCATTTGGAATCGTTGTCGGTGTCGACCACGTCATGTAGATAAGATACAATGTCATCATGCCAAAGCTTCTTTTGCCCGCCTGGGCAGGGAGAGGTGCCAGCAGAGCCACGGCACGGCGAGGGTCTCGAGACGCGGTCGGGCCCCGCCGCCCCAGGCGACGCGAGCCGGCAATGCGCGCGCAGGGCGGCGCGCTGCCAGACGGCAGGCAAAAGGCAGGCGAGGAGCGAGGGGATCGAGCAGCTGTGAGCCTGCCCCGTGCTCGCTCCAGGTCCCATGCATCGCGCTCTGCACTTGCGCCTCAGTCGGCAGGCACGTACACACACACACACACACACACACACACACACACACACTTTTTGGGCGGTCGCGGCCTCGCGCGCAGCGACGAGGCGGGGTGGGGTTGAGGCACCGGTGCGCGTGCGATCGGGCCCCCAGGCGAGGTCACCTTGGATCCCGCGCGTGCCCGCTGCGGACATACCAGCTGGGAGTGGGTGGCATGGAGGTGGCGCGCCTCAAAACGCCAGACCTCCCAAGCGGGGACGTACACGAGGCCGTCAGAGGAGGAGCATCACCATCTGGGCGTGGATGGCATGTAGGTGCAACGCTGCCCAGCGCACAAAAAGACCTTGCAGGTCCCCTGCGGGAACGTGGCGCAGACCCAGGAGAGGGAGAAGGGGCCGAGGAGGGCCGGCAAGGGAGCGCAGAGTAGCGTGGGCGGAAGAGCCCGCTGCGGGGAAATGGGGAGACGCACACACACACACACACACACATGCACATGCACACGCACCCACACGCACGCACGCACGCACGCACGCATGCACGCACGCACGCACGCACGCACGCACGCATGCACGCATGCACGCACACACACACACACACACACACTCACACTCACACACACACACACACACACACACACAAACACACACACACACACACACACACACACACACACACACACACACACACGCACGCACGCGCGCGCGCACGCACGCACACACACGCCTGAATACGGGGAACTCGTACGCCGAACTAAGGGAAATCACCGACTGGACCCATGCAAAGTGGCAAGGGGAGTCCAGATGATCGGCCACCGCATCACGCAGCGAGTGGTCTGTCTCGGACCTCCTCCTTCTTTCGCTGGTGTCGCCTCTCCCGAAGCGATGCCTGCACCCATGGTTCCCATTATCCTCTCCTCTTCCTCCCCAATATGCTTTTTCTTATGGATAAATCCTCCCTGTCGCACCCTCAGACGTGTGAGTAGGGCGTGCCGGGCAGTTTGCCTGAGATTTCCTCGACAGTTGTGTGATGCTGAAGCTTACAGTCTGCAACAACAGCTATGAGGATAGAGGGAGGTGGTTTTCAGGATGGGACTCTCGCCACGGCGCTGCGAGCATTCGCCTTGAAAGCTTGCCACAATTACGCGGATGGAGAACGGTTCTCTTTCAAAAAAGGGATATCGCACTGGCGCCGTGCACATTCGTCTTAAAAGCTTGCAGCAGCTGCACAGATGGGTGATGGCTCCATTTCAGACAGGGGCTCCCGCTTGAAACTGCACAAAACGTGAACACCAAGAACTCTTACATCTGTGACAGCTGCACGGGTGGACGGCCGTCCCTTTTCAAACTGAAGCTCTCGATTGAGAGTTCCTCGAAGTGCATGAGTAGAAGTGTAAACTTGCACATCTGTCACAGATGGGGCGGTCCTTCTTCGAAAGGGGGATCTCGCTGGACACCTCGTTGGCATATAGCATCATATCTTGTCGCAGTCCTTGATGCTTGTTGGAAGGGTCCAAGAAAATTCCTTATCAAAATGGAGCTCTCGCCTCAATGGCGAGCTCATAAGGTGCTGGTCTTTCCAAGGGGTGCTTGTGTGGTGAAAGCGAAGGCTTGTAGGGACTTCTAAGGCGGAGACCTGGGACAAGCGGATAAATTGCAACATCGTCGATGCACAGTGGGTTTACTGTGGTCCCCCTATTACTCCTCCTCCTCCTCCTGCTCCTCCTTCTCCTCCTTCTCCTCCTCCTCAGCATCATAAGTGAAATAATCGTCACCACATTCGAAGTATCATCCTCGCCATCCCCATCACCAAAAAACAAAACCACCACCACCATAATCATCCGCATCCTCATCATCATCATCATCATCATCAACATCATCATCACCACCATCATCATCATCATCATCAGCATCATCATCATCATCATCATCATCATCATCATCATCATCATAATCATAATCATCACCATCATCATCGTCATCATCATCATCGTCATAATCATCGTCCTCATCGGAATCGTCATCATCATCGTTATCGTCAACGTCAACGTAATTGTCATCGTCATCATCATCATCACCATCGTCATCGTCATCATCAGCAGCAGCATCATCATCGTCGTCGTCATCATTATCGTCGTCATCACCATCATCACCCGCATCGTCATCATCACCATCAAAACCACCACAGTCCTCATCATCAGCCTCATCAGCAACATCATAACCAGATCACCATCATCATCATCATAATAAGCATCATCATCAGCATCATCATCATAATTATCGTCATCATCATCGTCCGCATCATCAGCAACATCATCATCATCACCACCAGCGTCACCACCATCAACATCAACATCCCACTGCGCCTCCTCCTCCTCCTACTCCTCCTCCTCCTCCTCCTCCTACTCCTCCTCCTCCTCCTCCTCCCCACTCCTCCTCCTCCTCCCGCCCTCTCCCCCCAAGGCCCCTGCCCTGCCCGCAGAGTGCGCCGTCGGGCACACGCGGCGCCCCCTCTGGAACGGAAGGACCGCGCACCACTCTGGGCGCTGACGGGCCCGTGATACAACCCACGGCGGCTCCCCCTTGGGAAGCCCGAGCGGGATGCCTGCTGCTGAACAAAGAAATGGCACCCATACCACTACCCTTCCCTCGTTTGCCCCTTTTCGGGTCTCCTGGGAGGCCCTGGTCACCACGGCTGGATTCGCCTCGAAATCCTGATCAGAACGCACCCCAGCAGAGGTGCGGGGAGTAGCGGTATCTGTACCTGTTGGTTTCACCAGCTACCTCGTGGCGACACTGAATGACAACTTGATCTCCGTATAGATGGGTCTGAGTTCGAGCGACTGCGTATGAGCGAGTCCGAGTGCGGGTGAGTCTGAGGTCTGAGCGGCAAGCGAGTCTGACTCTGCATACGAGCGGGTCTGAATGCAAGCCTGAACGTGAGTGACGGAGCACGAGTGAGTCTGACACTGAGCGAGTGAGCACGAGTGGGCATGCGTGTGCGAGCTCAGATGGGCATGGGAAATTTGGAGAGGAAGCGGGTGAGAGAGAGGCGGGGGCGCGACCCTGACAGCACGAGCCCCACTAGCAGGATATACTGTGGGGGAGCTGAATGTCGTGATTGTTGCCACGACGCCTTACCAAACATGGGCCCTGCCCAGATTCGCCCCCTGGATATCTCATGGGGTGCGTCATGGCCAGAGTGTCGAGGGCGAACCTGGCCTTGCCACGAGGGCGCCCTGGGAGGCCTAAAAACGGCAGAGGCAATGCAAAAGAAGCCCACCGATCCTCCCTTTCGACCCCACCCTCGACCCACGCCCTCGATCCTCGAATCCTGGGGAAGTAGCCTCGATCACCCTGGGTCCTCGATCCTCCCACCCGATCCCATTCTCGACCCTGGGGGGGGGGGATGATCGAAAGTCCCGCGAAGACCGAAGACTTCTCTGGGGCTGGTTGCTCGCCCCGACTCGCTCCTGGGAAGTCCCCGCCCGGCGAGGGGCCCCCCAGAGGCCGAGAACGGCGACGGAAAGCCTGGCCGCTCCGCTCCCAGGCATGCGGCGTCCTGAGCTTTTCGGGACGGCGTCCCCGGAAGTCCCGGCCCTTTCCCCCGAGGGCCAGTTTGTCCTCCTGGCTCGTCTGTTCTGACGGTCCCGGGGCCCGGCGAGAGCCCCCCGGGGCCGACAATGGCGAGAAACCGTCGTCCTGACTCTTTTGTTACGACGCGGTCATGTCTGGGGCGTTCCCGCAGCGTGGGCTCTCCGGGCGAGCTGGGCCCGCGGCCATGTCCAGGGTCTCCTGCACGCTGTGCGCGGAGAGCAGGGCCATGCCGGTCTGGCGCACCTCGCGGCCCCCGCCCGCATCTCCGCGGCGCGGGCGCCGGCAGGACAGGCTGAGAGGGAGGGAGGGGAGGGAAGGAAGGGAGGGAGGGAGGAGGAAGGAGGAGGGAGGAGGAGGGAGAAGGAGGAGGGGGGGAGGAAGGGAGGGAGGGAGGGAGGGAGGGAGAGAGGAAGGGAGGGAGGGGGGCAGCGGGAGCGAGTTTGCTCCAGCGCTCCGCTGCGGTCCCTCGGGGGCCTGCAAGTCGAGGCCCCCGCGGGAGGCGCTGCAGGAGGTCAGAGGCAGTCGGGGCAGCGCAAGAGAAGGCGTGCAGCAAAGCAATGAAGCGAAGAAATGGTAAGAGTCGGGGGCCGACGAGCCGCTGCTTCCCTTGTCTGACTGCCAGGATCGGGCCAGCAGTTCTGGCTGCCCAGGACCGCTCTGCGACCGGAACGGCGTCCCCCCGTCGATGCTTTGCCGTGCGCCCTGCGCGCAGGCACGGGCAGCGCAGTGCGCAGGCCTGAGGAGAGAGAAGAAAACCGCGCGCGCCGCACCGTACTTCCGTGGCCTGCGCTCTTCTTCCCGCGTCCCTTCTCGCGCCCCGCCGCCAATCCCTCGGGCTTGGCCTCCACCACCTCCTCCACTCCGCCTTCGTCCCAGCCTCTTCTACTGGCGATGAGCGGATCACAGGACTGAAGTGCGCAGCGGGGGAGCAATAATTGATGCACCTGATGCCTGTTATCGCAGTCGGACGAACAGGCACTGCAACGCAGACACCAAGCATTAGGCCGGGCATGTCCTCCTACAGGCGGACTTCGGAAGAAAAATCAAAAATAGTCCAAAAATATTCAAGAGGAGTCCAACAATCATAGAAAAATCGTCCCCTGACTATCTTTTACTATTTTTGAATACTCCTCCTGTAGAAGACACGCCCGACTCACAAAACCGAACACCCGTCACTCTCGCGGCGCCCCCCGTTTCGGCAAGAAGCCCCCCCCCCCGAGGCCACACCGCCATGACGTCCGAGTGGTCCCCGAAGATGGCCAGGGCCTGACCCGCCACGGCGCGCGCGGCGATGTGGAGCACGCAGGGGTGCAGCTCGCCTCGGGCCGCGCGCCGCCCCGGGGAGGGCGCGGATCGGAGGCCAGCGCGCGCCGGGCACCTCTGCACGCTCGGCGATGGACTTTTGGGTGTGCACGCTCGGGCTCACTGCCGGCCGGATTCGATCTATGCCTGCTGCTGCTCACGGTGGAGGCTGGTCCACAAGAAACCTGCCACAAGAAGCCCAACCCTGAGACCCCAGGACATCCACTGACGTTTGGCGCGGGAACGTCACGGCCTCCGTACTTCATACGTGTATACATATACCCACAACAACAACAACAACAACAACAACAACAACAACAACAACAACAACAACAACAACAACAACAAAACACCCTGGAAGCAAGCAGGGCGTTTTTTGGCATGGGCCCCCACTGCACGCCCGATTCGGCAGAAGTTGGCTTCTGTTGTGCCCAAAGCCTGCCCATCCCAGCAGCAGGGCAGCTCTGCATACTGCCTGGCCCCTCGGCCGGGCACGGTGGCGGCGCGCAGGAGGTGCCCTCGGCGGAGGGGCACGAGGGGGGGGGGGGCAGCGGAGGAAGCGAGCGGCCTGGAAACGTCTCTCGCGCCCCCTGCCCTCGGCATGCCGCTGGAGTGCCCCCGCCCTCGCGCCCCCGCCTTCCGTAGCAACTCACGGGAGCCTCCCGCACCATCTTGCCCGCTCCTGCGAATCGACGCTGATCGAGGCTAAGTCGACGCTAATCGACGCCAAATCGACGCTAACCGACGCTAAATTGGCGCTATCTCATCGACTCCCAGACGCTAATCGACGCCAAAGATAAAATTACGAGGGCACACAAGGCTCTCATGAGTTGCTACCGAATCCCCCCCCACGCACCTGACACACACACACACACACACACACACATGCGCAAACACAAACACACACACACACACACACACACACACACTCCTCCTCCTATATTTTTACAAGCCCCGGGGGGGGGGAAACCCTCCCCCCCCCACACTGGACCCCCGGGATCTGGGGTTCTCGGGCTCCCTTGGACGTCCAGGGAAAAGGTCACCCGGCTTTCCGGGTCTCCACAAACGCCTTGCCAGCAGACCCAGAGTGAGCGATCCGAGGGGTCATCAGGAAGGCTCAAGGGAGGCCCCAGACAGCACAAGAGCGCTACAAGAGGGACTCCAATTGCGTAAGGACGGCCCAAAAGACCCCCAAGGCACCCCAAAAAGCTTTCCAAGGGGCCTTGCAAGCACAAAATTCGTCCCATTCCCTTCGTAAAACTTACAATTTTAGCATATTCGCCTTTCGGATTTCATCAGCTTTCAAGACGGTTTCAAAGCCCCCGAGATCGCCTCCAGACGCCCCAAAAGGCCCCCAAAAGAGCGTCAAGACGGCCGAGCCGGGCCCCACGATCGCCCAAGAGAGCCCCAAGACAGCCCATAATGGAACCAAGAGGCCCCCCAAGGGCTCCCAGCACAGACCCAGAAGGGCCATGGGAGGTCCCCGGAAGTGCCCAAGATGGGTCCAAAGGGGGCTCCAGCAGGCCCAAGCTCCCCAAGACGGCCCAAGAAGGCCCCAGGACGGCCCATGAAGGCGCCAAAACGGCCCACGAGGGCCCCGAAAACACCCCCACGATGTTTCCGAATGCCAACATAAAGACCCCCACGGCACCCCAAAAAGCTTTCCAAGGGGCCTTCCAACCACAAAAATCGTCCCATTCCCCTCCTAAAACTTACAACTTTTGCATATTCGCCTTTCGGATTTCATCAGCTTTCAAGACGGATTCAAAGCCCCCGAGATCGACTCAAGACGCCCCAAAAGGCCCCCAAAAAAGCGTCAAGATGGCCGAGCCGGGCCCCACGATCGCCCACGAGAGCCCCAAGACAGCTCATAGTGGAACCAAGAGGCCCCCCAAGGGCTCCCAGCACAGACCCAAAAGGGCCATGGGAGGTCCCCGGAAGTGCCCAAGATGGGTCCAAAGGGAGCTCCAGCGGGCCCAAGCTCCCCAAGACGGCCCAAGAAGGCCCCAGGACGGCCCATGAAGGCGCCAAAACGGCCCACGAGGGCCCCGAAAACACCCCCACGATGTTTCCGAATGCCAACATAAAGACCCCCACGGCACCCCAAAAAGCTTTCCAAGGGGCCTTCCAACCACAAAAATCGTCCCATTCCCCTCCTAAAACTTACAACTTTTGCACATTCGCCTTTCGGATTTCATCAGCTTTCAAGACGGTTTCAAAGCCTCCGAGATCGCCTCAAGACGCTCCAAAAGGCCCCCAAGAAAGCTTCAAGACGGCCGAGCCGGGCCCCACGATCGCCCACGAGAGCCCCAAGACAGCCCATAGTGGAACCAAGAGGCCCCCCAAGGGCTCCCAGCACAGACCCAAAAGGGCCATGGGAGGTCCCCGGAAGTGCCCAAGATGGGTCCAAAGGGAACTCCAGCGGGCCCAAGCTCCCCAAGACGGCCGCCGGCTTTGCTCGGCCCGGCCCGGCTGGCAACTCAGGAGGAGGATGGGGAGGAGAGGAGGAGGAAGAGGATGTGGACCAGGAGAACGCGAATAGAAGAAATGAAGAAACAGGAAGAGGGACTTATACGCAAGGGGAGTGCGAAGGACGAGTGGCGAGTATCACCCAGACAGAAAACGAGGGGGAGGAGGAAGAGGGAGTCGTCAGATCCGCTTCGCCCGGGTATGCTCACAACTCCCACCTCGGAAACGCTTTGCCTCGCAGTGGTCCCGCCATTTTCGCCTGAGACATCCCAACTCTGGAGTCAGGCCAATTTCGCCTGAGACAGTCTCGCAAGTCTGACTTCGGAGGTGCCCTGCACCATGGTGGTTAGCCTACTTTCGCCTCCGACTTCTCGCAACTCTGGATTTCGGGATGCCCTGAGCTGAGGTGTTCAGACCACTCTTCGCTTGAGACTTCCTCGCAAGGCTGACTTCGGAGATGCCCCGCCCCATAGTGCTCGGGCCAGTTGCGCCTAAGACATCCTCGCAACTCCGACCTCGGAGGTGCCCTACCCCAAGGTGGTCCGGCCACTTCCGCATGCGACACCCTCGCAACTCTGCGTCCGGGGATGTCCTAAGCTGCGGTGGTCTGGTCACTTTCGCCAGAGCCATCCTCGCAACTTTCGGTTCCGAGGTGCCCTGAGCTGAGGAAATCAGACCACTGTGGCCTGAGACCTCCTCCGAACTCTGACCTCGGAGAAGCCCTGCCCCAAGGTGGTCCAGCCACTTCTGCTTTGAGACTTTCTCGCAACTCTACGCTCCAGGGCTCCTTCAGCTCAGATGTTCGGGCCACTTTCGCTAGAAACGTTCTCGCAGCTCTGGGTTCCGAGATGCCGTGCACCATGGTATTCCGCCACTTTCGCTTGAGACATCCTCGCGTCACTGAGTTCCGGTCTGTCCTGAGCTGAGGTGTTCAGGCCGTTTTCGCTTGAGACATCCTCGCAACTCTGAGTTCTGGTATGTCCTGAGCGGAAGTGTTCAGGCCATTTTCGCTTGAGACATCCTCGCACACTGACCTCGGCGATGAATTGTCCCATGGTAATCTGGCCGTTTTCGCCTGAGACCCTCGCACCTTTCATTTGCGAGATGCCCTGAGCAAATGGTCAGGCCACTACCACCTGAGATACGCATGTGTATGCGAACCCATTGTTATATAAATATACATATATGTATGTACATATGGGCGTGAACCGACCAAGCACGTACGAGTTGCATATGCATGTGCATACCCTTACACACATAAATGTGTATGTACATATGTACGCTGTATACACACATACAACAATGTATGTATAGTGTATACACCTAGACATTTATACGGAACGTGCATGCACGTGCGCGTGTATGCATGCATGCGCGCATGTACGCACGCACGCATTCCGCTTGCGTGCAGAACTCAAAGGACCATGGTGCATGGCGCGCAGCGCCAATGCAGTCTTGTATATATATATATATATATGTGTGTGTGTGTATTGCGTCGGCGGTTAAGCAGAGTGACTGATGTAGGGCATACACAAGTTAATTGGGCCGCAATGCACGAGATGAAGAGATGAAACGCCCAGCACACACACACACACACACACTAACACACACACACACACACACACACACACACACACACACACACACACTCATTTGGCGGTGGCGGCCTCGCGCGCG